TACAGTATGCTCCTATTCTTTTTATGCTCAGCTACTAAGATTTCCCTTCAGTGGTAAAATTCCATATAAATATTCAATACTAAAATGGGCACAGTAAAGACGTTTACTGTAAATCTTTCTACGACAGACCAACGGACCATGAGTGCCCCTGTCGGTCAACCCATCACGTACCGCGGTACCGCGCGTCATCGTGCGTCACAATGCGTGACGCCGAAGCCAATTACCTCCGGTACGTGTCTGTTCCGCGCACTTTGAATGGCTGCATCTGTAAGTGTGCTAGAACTCCTGACCTCTTTCTTAGAGAAAGGGTTTGTTTTTTTTGTGTGTGTAATAGTTCAACTTTGTTGTTTGTTTTTTTTTTGTTTTGCTATATATACATTGTCTTTGGGGAGCATTGTCATAATATACCATTATCTTTGCACCTAAGTGCAATTGTGGCTGAGCCATCATTTAGTTTTAAAAGGACTCACTTGGGCACCCCTCCTGCCCTCCCTGTGGCAGAAACATAGAGTTGATGTTTGTGTTGTCTTGCTTAAATACAGAGCACTGAATTTTATTGATCCAGATGTGGCTCCACACAATTATGTGATACTCATCTTGTACAGAACCACAGCACCGGGATTCCCAAGTTCCTTCCCAGATGCATAAGAGACTCTTTAACTGGCTGTTATTAGATATATCTTCATGGCTCAATTTTTTAAATTATTTATCTTAATGTATTTTATTTGCGGCATGGGTTGCGATTCTTTTTACATTGGTTTTGTGTTCGATATGTGTCTTTGTACAGATGTGTTTTTGAAATTCACTTATTAATAAAACATATTATTTTTAGGGGATCAAGAAAGGAATTGAATGTACATTGGGTTATAATTTTTGTTCCTACACATTATTTTCAAATACTTTTTAATTCAAACCCCCATATGAAAACTCTTGGCATTATTATAAACACATATGGAAAGTTGTTTCACAAGGAAAAATATACCAGTAACTCACATGGTTTGGCTGTAACATTAGATTGAATTGTATAAGTTTGAAATTTTATGGGCTTCTTTCAAACAAATTAAAGTTCAACTCTGAAACGTGGTGCACAATATTTACATAATTTACTAAATTAGACTTGCTCAGGACAGATGGATTGGGCACACAGTTTTCCACCCATATTTGATTTAGCCAAAAAATTAAATCAAATTAAAATGTCTCTGAATATTTGTCTGATTGGAACAAACCTTAGTATGCATAGATTAGAATAGATTCCCTTTCAAAATTGTGGTAAACAAGTTGATACATTAGAAATCATGGCTTCTATAAGCCAAACCAATTTGAAATGTGTTTTAATATGCATGTATTTTGAGATATACGTTTAGTACATGTAGACTGTTGTTGACCCTTAAATATGCTGCTGTAAAACATTGGTCTTATGACCTCTGACAATTATCAAAGCTCAAATGCAGAAATTCCTTATTGAGGGTCATGGTTATTTTGGGAGATGTATCAAAAACCATGTTTTACTAATATTGACCTTTCTAATATAATATTAATAATAATCTAATGAAAATAGATGCTATATATCTACTTAGCCATTAATGACTGCTGTTTGCAGTTATGTTTATTATAGTTAATAACTACTGAAAAAAATATGTATACTATTAAAAGCTTTATTAGCCAGAATTTGAAACCACTGTAATATTAGAGGAATAGTCTGTGTGTTGTTAGGTATTTGTGCAAGCTAATGCATTGCTTTAGAAATGTGTATATGTTTACATATGTATGTAGATACTAGCTTACAGCATCTATTTTCAACCCCCTGCATAATGTTTATTTCATAAGCAAGCATATTTTTCTTTTTTAAGTTTTTTAAAGGATCAGGGCATCTTGTTGATGGATTCCTATTTAATTGAACTTGGATAATAAAAAAGAAGAGAGACTTTTTTGCTGTCCATGAAGAACTCTGGACCAATATAGCAGTCAAACTCAAACCTGTGCCAAACACACTTGCCAAGATGAGCGGTGTATTTAATCTAAAACATTTGTAGATACATTTTTCCCCACACAAAGTGTTTAGGGAGTTTACCCACTACAGATTCTATTCTTGCAATTTTAATGATTATTGTGTAACATCAATTCTGTTACCCAAACATTGAATAAGTCTCGCATATAGAATGTGGGTGTGTAGTATATGTTTTATTTGGTTTGCTAATCAACTTCTGTTTTGTCTTCTCAATAGGGACTGATGATCTTGTTGCAGAATCTACCTACGATGCACTGGGGAAATGAGGAAATCAGTGTTCTCCTGGCAGAAGCTTATAGATTAAAGTACGCATTTGCAGATGCACCAAATCACTACAAAAGATGAGCCTCAATTAAAATGGTGAAAGAACTACTGAATTAAAGTCTTCTTTTTCTAGTTTATTCCAACTTCACAGCTATAATGAGATTAAAGCGTGGTTTTTGGATTCAGTGTACAGTTCTTAAAACAATTACAGTTTTCTTTGATATTACAAATATGCACACTCCAGTGTCATATTCTTCCTTTCTACTCATCTTAATTAATCTGACTTACAAAATGGTAGTAAAGAAGTATATTAAAAAGCCCATAAACACAGACAAATGATAATATAGTGTCCCTACATAGAAAACATTTTTTTTGTATTTTTTTTTACGCTTACTGATTAACTGAAGCAATTTTCTGACAGTGTAAATGCTTCTTAATTTAAGGCCTACCATCTGCTGTACTTAACAGGGTTTGCTGTTCTGGTGAAGTTTAAAAAATGCACTGCTCATCTCTAATGTAACTAGTCTGTATCAGCTTACAAGTGCTAACCATGATGCCCCTAGCACAATTCACAATAAAATGAAATAAAAAGGTCAAGAAGAAGGTGTATATGCACACACCTTTATAGAGATATATTATATTACCATTGGATCTAAAGATAGCAATGGTTGTAAATGCAAAATATGCTTATTAGGCAATAAAGAAGTGTCCCATAAGCCGTAAGTGATGGAAGTCATGATTTCTTTCACCTTCACTAAACTAGGCAAATACCTTGATGACACTTCATAACAAAAAGACTACCTCAGGAAAAGTCAGGTTTAAACTTTTCACCCTTTTTATTGAATATATATTGTTGTGGTAGTCTATGTCATCTTGTAGAAGACCAATAGAAAATTTAATTCAATAACCCCTAGTGTTTACCATGTAATGACGTCTTAAATTTGCCTTAAACGTGACTGTACAATTTCAGTTTGTGAAGGATTGAGAGTTTTGTTAATGTTATGTGTATACTATTTGTGTAAGTATGCTAGTTAAAAGTGAATATACATTTTCTTACAAATTTATCAACCAAGATTAAAACTTATGGTAGCTGCATGAACCCATTGCTGTTTTAAAGTACAGAAAGTGTGTATGTGTGTATTGGGCGCATCTTGTTTTCAAGACACTAATGTTTTCAGTGCTAAATTGTATGGGAAAATAGCCTTTTATTCTTTTTTCTTTCTTTGTGCCATTTAGAGGCTTTTATTTTATGTGCCAGTTTAACAATTTAGTATTCCCCACTTTATATTTGACAATAATATATTTTTTTCCATTTTGTAATAAAATCAATTATTCAGATCAACCTTCTTATTTTCCTTTTTATATACTGTTTACATAAAGTTATGTTGTGCCTAACATGAGGATTCTACATCTTAGATATTTATTTTAAACGTATAATGATGTTTGCAAAATAAAACAAACTGGAAGAATTTTAAGAACAAACAACCATTTGCTAAGCCATAATAAAACGTCTTGATTAAACAGTATCAGTTAACCTTTTGTTTTATTTTTATTACAACAAGTGACTGTACAGACTAAACATGAAAATCAGTACATCAACAATCTGCAACTCATCTGTTTTTCCAAATGAGGTCCACAAAGTATCATAACTTTTTTTGTTTGTTTGTACTGCTGTTTGTCTTATTTTCCAGTGCAGCAACATCGCATCATGGTTACAAAGCATCTTGTAAAAAACAATACAAAGCCTTTACATAACATCTGACAGTTCATATTTACCACATTTTAAGTAATCCTAGGAACAGTGCTCAAGGTGAATTAAGTTATGACGGCAGGCTCTTGTGCTCAAATTGGAGCATTGCATCAGAATTTGTTTGGTAGACCATTCTGTTACCCAAACTTTGTTCTTTTGTCATAGTGCAATGTAAAATGTAATAGTGTGGATACCACATTCTGAGACATGATTCCTCTAATTTTTGTACTCAAACTTACTGAAGTACATTAAAAAATAAGGTGTGTTTTCAAAACTGAAGTAAAACCTGTAAATAGCAATGAAAAGTGAGACAAAGATTTGTAAATACAAATGAACAACGTGTAAATAAATACTGGAAAAAAAAGTGTTGTCAGAAGAATCTTTATTTCTGTCTGTTTTTGCAAAGAAAATTGTAATTTCATTTTCAAAATGTTTTCCTGTCAGAAAGTATTCACATCACATTTTTAATTTGATTTAACTCTCATGTGTAACTCTTTTGTCTCTTAAATGTTCTTTTGTGGCTGTATTAAAATGGCCATCTGATAGTGGACAGGAATATCTAATCACTACTTGACTGCATGGTAATATATTGTCCATGTTCTTATATCTCACTTGCTTTCCTCTCAAATAGGCTCATCTTATATTTACAACTCTGTAGACGGACAATGCGTGTTCTCATGTTCTCATGGTTTTCTTGCAAGATGAGACGTCAACAGATGTGCCATTAGTTCACTACTTGCCAAACATGAGCCCCATTGAACATGTATTTGGTGAATGAGCTCGGATAATGTGTGAACTCTGGGGCTCATAGACGAGTCAACAGGCACATTCTTGTCAAGGCTCAACAAGAGGAATAGAAGAGACTCCCATAAAACATCTACAGCATGGTGCAAAGCATGCATCACAGGTGTATAGATTTTATTGCTTCCAATGGTGGCCACATGCTACTACTAGCCTGCGGCTTTCACAGTAGTGTCATTTCAATCAAGTGTGTTGATAACAAATATCAATACCTATATCACGTCTCTTCAGAAAATGTCAGTGTACTGCTGCAAACAGATTTTGATTTGGTTTCAGTTATATTTATTTTGATGGTCAGCATACATTAAATAGTTTCCCAAAATCAAAACCAACACAAATCATTACAAATACAAAAATGTCATTTTGGATTTTATTTTACAACCTTCACTTTGCATATTGTATTTATTTGGTGTATGATTTCATGTAGGTTTAAAAAATGTATACCTCTCAGCAATTTTAAGTTACCATAGTTTAAACTATCCGGAAAACTCTGATATGCATTTAAGTTGTATGCTGTAAAATTCTCATTTTAAATGTACATGAATAAAAATATGGATGTTGTATTTTTAAAACTCTTACAGCTCATGAATATAGTCCCTTTTCACAAGGCTTTATAAATAATATAGAGATAGAATGCATGAATATTTAGTATTTTCATTATAATACAAGATTGTTATATTCCTTTTTGATACATTAAGAAATGAACAGCACATTAGTAATGTGATCCAATATATAAGGTATTAAAACAAAGCTTTATTCAAATTTTAATGTGCATGCTATTATGTACAAATGAAATTTTTTGTACTGATATTATTTCTAGCATCTATTAAAGACAACCTCAATGGATTTCAACAGATTAAAATAGCATTTCTTGAAGTGCAGAAGTGATGCTTATATTTGATCAAATTGAACATATTAAATGGTATATCTGAGTTACAGCTGGTACGTTATTAGAGACATTTAATGTTGGATGTTCATGTTAATTTATTATTCATATTAGGTCAATTTTGGGAAAACAAAAACATTTAAAGAGTTACTGCGCAACATGTCACAAAGCTTTAAAGTTGTAATCCATCTCCTTTATAATAAGATCCTGTGCCTTTTGTTTGATTTCTTAAATCTATGACAGAAAACTACAAGAACAATCTAGCTTTCCTTGGATGTGTACTATCTAACTACCAACCAGGCCCAGCTTCATTTAGCTTCTGAGATCTGACAAGATCTGTTGGAAAAAATGCACACATACAGTACAGTATGTTGTAGGTTGCTGATTTAAAAAATAAGTTGTCAGTTGTAAGTTGTAAATATAAAAGTGTATAAGAAACTATAATTGGAAGTAAAACAATTTACATGTCTAAATTGTTTTAAATTAATTATTTTTCTTATCTGTGAAAAAATAGATTTACTGTTAAAATTAGAGCATAGCCTAAGTCAATACTGTATATCCATTCATTGTCAGAAAGTGACTCATTCCTTTTTAGGGTAGCTGCCCATCATGGAAGTAAAGGGCAAAAGGCAGGAATACATCCTGGAACTCCAATCTTTGTTTAAATATTTTCTATATATATTATAATACTTAGGAAGAAGAGAGGGGAAAACAAAGTCAGGTGAGATCCATTTCCTACTTGGAAGGGGCTTTTTATTCAAATAGCCATTATTGTGGCCAGTGGTATACCTTAATCTGCCAATTAGTTTTATTGTTTAAACAGAATTTGCCTTTTAGTTTGCCTGACTGATATATATATATACTAGAATAGTTTGAAAGTCTATGTCACAGGAAGAGCTGGAAAATAGTGATTTGTAAGCAGGAAGGCTACAAACACTTTTCAAGGAGCTGTACAAAAGCAAATTTCTTCCACTTGATTTTTGTCCCTGGAATCAGATGTGATAACGCAAGAGCAGGACACCTCCATTGCTGACCTGAAATCTCAAATACCGTTGTTGTCACAAGTATGTAAGGAGAAGTCATGGTTGTTGGGGACTACTACAGTTTGCTATCTTCCTGGAGCCAAGTCAATAGGCTCTAATTTACTAAAAGTGATGGCCCAGTTTTTTCTGTATGTACGTAAAGATACCATTGATAAAAACAGCACACCATTCACCCAGAACAAATTCAAACAACTTGGCAAGAAACTGAAGAACAGGACTAAATATGTTGTACTCTCATGAATCCTCCAAGTACTGGGCAAAGGCAAAAAATGACTAAATTTAATCCCACACAACACATGGATGACAACATAGTGGTAGCAGAAGGCTACATCTTCCTTGATCACACATTCCATCTAAAAAAGATGGTTACTAGTCATTATAGTGCAAGAATTCACAGTGCATGAATACAGAAACATTTAAACTTAGGACAAAAAGAAGGATAAACCAAAGAAAATTTTAAAAAGATGGAACAAAGACCAGGGGAGAAGCAAATTAGATAAACTGGAAATTAACACATTAGCAGGATGTTATTGGATACACATAAACGTGGCTATTTAAAAATGATGGAAATGAATGTAATAGTAGTGGATATATAATGTTATGGAGAGACCGTAAATATAGAAGAGGGGAAAATGTAGAACTATACTGTATATCAAAAGGTGGAATCAGGCTCAGGAATTCAAGCTAGATGAATCAGGAGATTATGAGTCAAAATGGGCAAGGCTCATTAAAAACACTCCTAAAGTATAGTATTATGAGCATGTAGTGACCATATACAGATGCTAATTATAATTCAACACTGTGTAATTAAATTTAAAAAAATGTGCAAAAGAAGCAGTCTTTATGGGAGACCTCAACTTTGTCAACTTAGGACGGGAAATACCAATAGGAATGTGAGCAACAGAAACTAAAATATTAGGCACAGATAACACCATGTAGGAGAACCTACAAGAGGAAATGCTGGTTTTGATCTTCTGTTTTCAGTCAACAAAGAGTGAAACAAAAATGTGAATCATTAGGGATCTGTCATCATAGTATGATCTACTTTAAAGTATATTTTCAAAACTGTAAATGTCCAGTTTACAATTTACAGAATTACTTTTCAAGAATGAAACAGTTTAAGACAAGTAAAATGGGATAGGAAAGATATTAAATCAGTTGAAATTGGAATGCACAACACTGAGGTGATAAAATGCAAGAATCAGTTCTAGGAAACACTTTTCTTCCTAATTTTTTTCAATAATCTAGATTCTGGTTTAATTTAGTAAACGAGTCACATTTTCAGATGATATTAAAAGTTGTTATTGAACAGACGTTCGGGTGGGGGACATATTTTAATCAGTGTTGCTGGGACCTTATGTTAGTCACATTCATCCAGGACCATAGTTGCTTTCTCTCCTACTCAGCTTCAACCCTCCACCAAAAAAGCTACCTTACCATCTGCATTTTTCTTTCAGGTCTTCTGATATCAGTAAGCCTTTCAGAAACTCCAAGCAGCTGCCGAGGTTTTTTTCCCCGTTACCCTTCTCTCTCAGTCTTCCTAATCTCACCCGCTCTCTTCTCCTTCCATCCCCCCTTCTCTCTCTGTTGTTTCCACTCTTCCTCTGTGCACTATTCTGCTCAAGCTCAAGTCTGCATCATGAGTACTTTTCATTTGTAACATGCTTGCTGTGGTCTGTTCTGATGAAATTGCAGCTGAACAAATTCACTCTTAGCTGAGTGTTTGAAATCTGTGTCAGTGTTATGGGGATTTTTTGGGGGGGATGTGACAGCATTGATCTCAAACCAGATCAATTCTCAATCAGGTTAAAGCTGAAGTTAATGCTGAAGTATTAAGCATGCTATCCCTTTAAATTTGTCGGCTTTCATTGTTAGAATTTGACTAAACAACTGGAATGGTGTTATTGAAGAGTAGTTTGGGTGGAGGTCAAATTATAATCTCTCACTACTGCAAAAAACAAACTGTAAATGCAATTGGGAAACATGGGCTAAAAGGAATGGAAGCTTTTTATTCTTCGACAGAGAAGATTAGAAAAGGACCTGTTATAAGTATTCACAATCCTCAAAGACTTTGTAAAAGCCAACCCAGCAGACTACTTCAGAGTGAACACAGAAAAACAAACCAGAGGACATGGGACCCATCTGGCTTGTTTGGTTGCCAGGATCAGAGAATTTCATCCAGACATTTCTTGAAAGAAGCCATTGGATCAGCTTCAAAATCATGGCTGGGTGGCCCATAACCCACAGTGTAAAACTGCCTCCTGTTCTCAGTTTTCAATGAACTTACTCATAGTTTCTATTGTACCTCCTGGCAACCATTCCCCCTCCCTCTCTCAAACTTTTGACTCTTGTTTTACTTATCCCATAATTGTGCAAAGGTGGGATGAAAACAAGCCTGACGTAACACCGCTTGATTTTGATTCAGACTGAATGGATTCACTGCGCCTTGTGTTAAATGAAAGAACCTAGTTGGGAAACACTGTTGTTGATGCTGTGGTACATTGTTCAGTACATACATAGGTCGTTTGATTAGTTTACTAGTGATATGACTTTTATGGAGTTTTCTGAAAGTAAAAAACTTCAGGGAGTAAGTGAAATACTTTAATAAAAACTAGGAATATTGATGCT